GGGGGGGGGGGCGCCCAGGGGTCCCCCCCCCCCCCGCTGCTCCTTTCCCCCCAGCTGTGGGGGGGGCGAGCGCCGGGGGGGGGGGGGGGGGCGCCCAGGGGTCCCCCCCCCCCCCGCTGCTCCTTTCCCCCCAGCTGTGGGGGGGGCGAGCGCCGGGGGGGGGGGGGGGGGCGCCCAGGGGTCCCCCCCCCCCCCGCTGCTCCTTTCCCCCCAGCTGTGGGGGGGGCGAGCGCCGGGGGGGGGGGGGGGGGCGCCCAGGGGCCCCCCCCCCCCCCGCTGCTCCTTTCCCGCCAGCTGTGAGGGAGGCGAGCGCCGGGAGGAGGAGAGGCGGCGCCCAGAGCCTCCCCCTCCCCTCGCCTGCAGCTGGAGGCGAAGAACGGAGATCCTGGAAGGGGCCTCGGAGGTCTTCTAGTCCAGCCTCCCCCCAGGCCCCTCGCTCCAGGCTGAAGACTTTATCCCGGTCAAATGCTTAGCCAGGCTATTCTTCAAAGCCTCCAGGAGGGAAGCCTTGTTCCCCTGAGCTTCCCCGAGAGAGGAGAGAGCCGTGGGAAAGGGCTGGCTCTTGTTTCTCTCCCGGCCCCCTCTTGCCTGGAGGGTCTCCCTCCTGGGCTTCCTGGTTTGTACTGGGAAGAGGAGAAGCGCCCGAGTCCCTCCAGATCACGCTGGTTGAAGGTTGCTTGGGGGAGGGCATGTGTCCTTAGGGGGATGGGGGGACTATTATGTTGCTTTATTATTTATTTTCTTTATATATATAAAACGGCCACCACCCGTTACAACACAAAACCACAATAGACACACAGCCAGCACCAATCTATTAATCATGATACAACCACACAACCAATTGTTCCACTTACTGAAACAAAGCCAGCACTCCACACCCACCCACCAAGATTTATAGAAAGATGGCAGTTCCGATCACACTTTAAGCCCAAAACCCAGCCTGAAGATGGCGAGTGAGACCCCGCTGAAACGTTGCCAAGACAATCTCAATCTTAATCTTACAGGGGAAAAGACCCGAATACAACAAGGCCAGCATATCTACACACATGAAAATCTACAAAAACATCTATATGATATTTTTATACCCCTGTAAGCAGTGGTGAAATTCATTTTTTAACTACCGGTTCTGTGGGCGGGGCTTGGTGGGCGGGGCAGAGGAAGGATACTGCAAAATCTCCATTCTCACCCCACTCCAGCCAGAGATGGTATTTGCCCACCACTGGTTTTTTCAGAACCTACTGAATTTCACCCCTGCCTGTAAGCCGCCTTGAGTCGCCACGTGCAAATAGGCAGCAATGTAAATGTTCTAATAAATAAATAAAAATAAATACAACAGTTCTCATTGCGGAAGGAAAATTCCCGGGTTAGAATCCTCAGGTGCTGATGTCACAAGAGAGAGTCCTCAGATAAAGGCCTCCAAGCCTCTTGGCGACATGATTTCTGTTTTCTTCTTCAACCACTGACTATTTTTCAAGTCCCCTAAAGCAGTGGTCTCCAACCTTGGCCACTTTAAGACTTGTGGACTTTAACTCCCAGAGTTCCTCAGCCAGCTTTGCTGGCTGAGGAACTCTGGGAGTTGAAGTCCACAAGTCTTAAAGTGGCCAAGGTTGGAGACCACTGCCCTAAAGAACCTTCCTTGGGAAACCTTTTATCAGTTCTTGGAACTTGGGACTTGGAATGAAAATAGATGCCAAAGAGACATCATAGACTTTGGCGTGAGGAGGCCTCCTACCTTCCTTGATGCTCCCATTACTTCATAGGAAAGCTGTGGCTGCAGAGAACCAAAGAGTCTACTTGTCAAAGTTGTTTTCTTTTTTCCAGTTGGTGTGCCCAATCTTGCAGGAGTCAACTCCTTGCTCCCAGGTGGTGGAGAAAGTGAGGGATTGCAAGAGTGGCTGGGAAACTCCCACGGTATGTTGAAAATGAAGGTCACATGACCCCCCCCCCAGCAGCAGTCCAACGAGGCAGCAGCAGCCAGTAGCACTGAAGCAGCCACACTTCCAAACTTCAAGCAGGAAACATGAATCCCAGATTTTGAACACATCCTATAAGCCCATTTGAAATAACTCAATTCAAAAACTGATGCACTGATTTACCCAGTTAAAGATCCTGACAATGAGAGTTTTAATAGCACAGATTGTTCAAAGAGCTGAAAGTTCCCCATTTAACAAACAACAAAACTAGGATTTGTCCACTTGTCAAATAGGGACCCCGTCAGCTTCTTCCCCATCTTTGAACAACTGTAAATTTGTTTTTGTTCTCAAAGATTTGTTAATAAACTCAGGAGGATCATAACTAAATATGGGTAATCTTCGAGTTACAAATGTAATGGAGTTGCCCATGTCGTTCGTAACTCAAGGATTTGTGGGAGTGAGTCTCGTACCTCGAACAGGATCCTTTCGCCCGTGCGTTTGCTAATCAGATGTGAGGCTCATTAAGTGAACAAGAGATACTTCAGGTGAAGGCCATGGAGGTCCCACTGATGGAACAGGCCACCTGCCTAAGACCACCAAGGCCTCCACGACTCCCTGAAATACCTTACGCTCCCCACAATCGCTTCCTCCCCCAACCTGTCACTCCAGGTCACTTACCTTGTGAAGGTCTAGCAAGCAGCCTCCCCTCCAGCATCTCAGTCCCATGCGCCCCTCTGCAGTTCTGTTCGGGATTCCGCAGGCCTCACCTGGCAAGTTGCCGCCTGAAATGGAGTTTCTAAGGGGCAAATCCAGCTCGCCAACGATCCGTTTGGCCCTCCCCCAGTCCATTACAGGCCAAAATGGAGCCAGGGATCTCCCCCTCAGAAGCTCCGTTTCGGTGGGCCAAGACCCAGGGGAGGCCTGCAGAGGGCTGGAGAGAGCCTTGAAGGGCTGGATCAGGCCCTCGGAAGCTCCATTGCAGCCAGCAACAGGCCAGGGGAGACGTCTGGATGCCCAAATTGAGCTTCTGAGGGGCGGCTCCGTATCGGCCAGCAACGTGGAGGGCAAATGTTGCAGAACCTCTGCGGCTGTCCATAAGGCGAACAACTGCTGTGGCGTTGCAGGATTCGTACTTTCGGGCCTTGTTCGCAAACGGTAGGGGTGCTTATCACATACCTTCGAATGTTTGCTAAGGAAACAGTCATGACCCGAGGATTACATGTGAAAGGATTTCTATTTCTCAGCTCGTATTTGAGGAAAAAGTTGGCAGTGGTGGCTTTTCCTCAGGAGCAAGAATAAGCAGTCAGGTGCTGTGCGCAGAACTGATCAGATGCTTCCCTTGGGATAAGCCAGGAGATGCAAAGTCTCAGCTTCTACCACTGGCTTTGCTGTCAGAAAGAGAGTTGGATATCTCTACATTGGTATAGAAAACATCCTAGTTTTGAAGCTGCCCAGCCTGCGAAGGTAGCTGTGAAGCAGATATTCTGGGGATAAATAGAAAAGGCTCCCGGGGCAGCATTTTCAAGTATCCCATGCTTTCCAAATCCCATATGTGCAAAAGGAAAATGCTTATTCATGCATTACTTTTATGCAGCAACAAACTGGAGCTGCTGGTTTCCCTACACCCGTGATGGGGAACCTATGGCATGCGTACCACAGGTGGCACGCGTAGCCATTTGTTAGGGCGTGCCAGGCGTTGCCCTGTAAGCTCCACTTCGGTCTTCTTTTTGTGCCGTTTTTTCGCCCTCCGGAGGGGCAGCGGAGGCTGTTTTTGCCCTCCTAGAAAACCTCNTCAACTCCCAGAATTCCCCAGCCAGCATTCGCTGGCTGGGGAATTCTGGGAGTTGAAGTCCAGACATCTTCAAGTTGCCAAGGTTGGGAAACACTGTCCTAGACCATCTCATTGCCCTCTTGTGACCTATAAACCTACAGGTCAGGGAACCATAGTAAAAGGCCTAGAAATATAGACCAGCTCTTGGAGTCTGCATGACAGTAGAATATGGAACTAGCATATAAGGACTATTCATAGAAATTAATAGAAGTGCTCAATCGTGACAGTTACTCTATAGACAGTTATATCAATCTTACTGTATAAGAAAAGAATGTCCACTTCTTTCAGGATTCTTGCCTCAGCCTTGTTGGGTGGAGGTTCTGAAGTTGCTGTGTATTGTGAGGGAAGGGAAGCTATTGTACCATTGATGCATATTTTGTAAGAGACAAAGACTTCCTCAACTTCAGTTTAACTCCTGGTAACTGTGTAGACGTCAGTGGCGAATTAGGTACCCTGAGCACTGACAAATCTCGGTGCCCCCCTCCTGTGCAAATGTTCATTGGTTTTCTCTTTCTTTCTCCACTTCTTGGGCCTGGTGCCCTAAGCACATGCTGAGTCTGCTTAATGGTTAATACACCACTGGTAGACATGCGATTCCCTTGCAAGCAGTCCAGAGGTAGTTTATCATTGCTTTCTTGTACATTCCTCCCTTAATTTAGCCTAAAGCTCTGGCATTTCCTAAGTGTATCTCATCTATCTTAGGAAATGGTACATCTTTTAGTTAAAAAAACCAATAGGATCAGAGAATATTATATATAATTCTTGATCAATACTCGGTAAGAAAGGAGAATGTAGAAAGCAAATATCTGCTACTGTTTTTTTTCTGCATCAATCCAAAATCAAAAATATGAATAACTTAATGCTGACTATATTTGTTCCTCCCTTGCAACATTAGTTAGTAGCCTTGATAAAATTTGTAAGCAGATGTTCAATTTATGTTTCTTATTAATTTAAATTGTTTAAAATATTTATTTGACAATATATTGCAACGATTGCTTGGAAAGTCATTCATCAAGAGATCACAGGACAATGATGGAGATTTCACAAGATATATCTTGCAATTTGTGTCAATGTCAAGTTAAGGATAACCTGTGTTATGTTGCTGTATTGTTGCTTTTGTCAGTTAATATATATTATACTACTTGACACTGAAACCAGTACAGTACATTAAAAATATACTATTTACTATATATACTATATATGATCCATGTTAATATTTCTAAAATAGTTTAATCACATGGACAATTATACATTAAAATGTTTTGTAAACCATTAGAGAAATTAGAGATTGGCATTGTGTAATAACTGAGAGCCATGGCATACGTTAACCCTCCTGATAGAGTAAATTACTTTTTAAAAGTTCATTTAAAAAAAAAAGGAACCTGAAATCTTGCTGAGTTGACATATTTTGACTTTGCTGCCCAAGTCTGACTCTGTTGGCCAAGAGAGAGTGACTGGTCCAAAGTCATCCAGTGGCTTTCCTGGCTTGGGCTGGACTAGAACTCTCAGCAGTCTCCTGGTGTCCAGCCTGGTGCCTTAACCATTAGACCAAACCTCAACAAAATAAACAAATAAATTGGAAAATATACAACAAAATTCAACACAATAAGTATCAATTAGTACTATACAAAACACGATATAAGTACAATGAAAAAACACTATTAAATTACATGTTTATTAATTGCAGTGTGCTGCATATTGTTGCAATGAACAACATCGCCATGATCAAATGATCTGGAGACTTATGCACTGAAATGTGCATGAGGATTTAAGAACTGCTGCATCGTTTTCAATGGAAGGCACCATGAAGGCAAATTAATATGAGATTAACTTGTAAGATTAGCCTTAGAAAGATGGAAATGATTTTAAAAACTATGGCAAAAAGTAACTGTACATGTGAACAATTCTGACTTGAAGCAACTGAAATTTTGAAAATTTTATTGACTAAAAAGGGTGGTTTTTAATGGCCTTTAAAAAAAAGCACTTATGCTTAGGAAGGATTTGATTAAACAATAAAAAATAATAATTCATTTCAGTGATGAAAATGAAAAAAGGGGGCCATGGCATACAGGCATTGCTATTTTATGGGGAATATATGAAAGGTAACAATTAACCAGAGAACAGCTGTGCTACAAATGTGGCAACACATTTTATTTATTTATTTAGAGTAAGATGTGTTCACATCCAGCATGACAAAATTTGTACAAATTTCACAATTTAAAAATGAAGTTATCACAGCAACTTGTGATTTCACACATTTATAGCAAAATTAAAATGTCAACAAACCCATGCCGTGTAGTACAAAAATAAATCAAACCTCAGTTCCACAGAGAGCACAATAAGTAGTTTATACAAAATTCTGTCTTAATAAATGATCACTTAAATTAAACTTAGAAATGAAATTGAACAATAAGTTAGAATAAATAAACTCTGATGACTCACAATAATTTCAGATGAAATGTCAGCATTCTAATATGTGACACCTTTGTGATCCCTATATAATAGTCACAGATAAACTTTTGATTTGATATTAGGTACCAACATTAGATGAGGAGCGCGGATTTGTGCTTAAAATCCCTTTTCCATTGTACATAGGTGATAACAATAAGAATCCAAAACTGATACTATCTATTACTCTACGGAAAGCATTACTATATTGGCAAAGAAGCTGCAGACACAATGCAGTGGGAAAATGCATATGCCGTTATGGAGAATGAGAGGCCAAAGGACGACAGGTATGGCAGGAGGAGGTGAATCTCAAGCACCTTGCTTCAGCTCTCAAAAAGGCAATTCTGAGCGTGGCAGCTACAACTAATAGCACAACAGAAAGGAGGGCACTGTACAGAGAAGAAGAAGATACTGCAGAGCCCCAAAATAATTACATCATCTTCTCCCAGCTAGTTATTAAAGTCCTCGTGGAAAACTGTCAGCTTTTTGTACAGTGTATAGTATAAAGTGCCGCTGGGATATACATATATTTATACATATATATATACCGAGGTTGAGTATTGTATCAGAATATTTGTTGTGAGATCCCTGTAGTCTCCCCTTAGCAATAATATTGGATTAGCCACACTGGCTTCCATTCTAATTTGTTCAAATTTAGTGTCACAAACCTAATGACACAAGAAATTGCACACCTCCGTATGGATATATAGGGCAAGGTAAGTGCAAATAGTCAACTGGCACATTGTGGGGACAATGACCCTGTAAGTCCTGTTCTGCTAAAAATATTTTATTTTATTATTATTATTTTTTTACAAAACCCATCTTTTTTCATAACAAAATTTTTTAAAGTACTCTTGTACTTTTCTGCATAACATCAAGACATGGAAGGAAAAGATATGCTATCAAATTGAAATTAATTCAACATCCGACAAACACAACACACCATCTGAATTACTACTATTAAATTAGAAACAAAAATGTCTCAAGAAAAGTGGTCTTATGCATACATTTAGTGCAGTTATTTTGAAGAAATAACAATCAAATTTAAAAAGTACAATACGTTTTTAGCTTGAAATGATGCAATTTAAAGCAAAAAAGTGCCAAAGTATATTTAGTTACATTAATATTTTTTTTGATTGCATTCGTTTTTTTGCAATAGGTAACAGTAGAACAAATAGATAGCATATGGAAATGCTACACTTATGAATGATTGTACTCCAACCAAAAAGCAGAACGTAAACAGTGAAAAGGGAAGAAAGTGAAACTATCAGATTCCGTTTCCTAGGTACAGTAGCAATGAATCCTGGTCAGCAACTGCTGTTATGACAATGTTTGGAAATTAGTTCCCAAATGAAAACATTTTCTTTTTTACAGGCAAGCTTTATTTTAAACAATTGTGTTTTGCCCGAAAAAGGAAAGAGTGAAGTTATGAAATGACGAACTACATTGCATTAACAGATAACTCAGATGGACACTCTTAAGAGTTCTGGAGAGATAAAGGATGTTGAATCCAAAGTGACTTTGAAAAGTAAAGTCGAAATCTTCCCGTAGTCCACCTCTGATCAGAGTTCCTGTCATTGTGGAAGTTTCCATATTCATACCAAGTAATGCTTAGAAGTTAATTAAAAAGTGCTGTTTAAGCTGCTTTGAATCTTCTGTCAAATTTCCATGGCTTGATGTTGTCTTACAATAAATTGCTCCTTTTACATTTCACATCTAATTCATGCCCTTTTTAAAAATTTTAAAACCCCCCCTTTTTATTGCCCCCACCACATACCATCTTCTGAAAACAAAAGTCACACAATATTTTCAGGCATTGTAAAAAATAAAGCATTTTTGCAACCAATTCTTGCTATGAAACAATATGCACACAAAATGTATTTTTTAAATCCCATAAAATCTTCCAGCAATGGGATAAATGAGTGTTTAAAAAGTGGCTGGAGACTGCAACATTGTCATTCAAAGCATTTTTTCCCTTTTTTTTTCTTTTTGTCCATTTCAGTTCAAAATACTAAAACATTTAATCACTAAAGCATTAAAAAGAATTTACACTCTTTATTTTGATCAGCTTACCTCTTCAGAAATATATTTACCCCCAAAATGTGCATACATTAGCAGCTATAAACATTACATGGCATATCACACTATGTCAGCTTATATGAAAACGTACAAAATGTGAATGTATTCAAAAAACTATTCGGCAATTACTATTTTCAAAGCAAGACATAAAATTATTATGAAGTCTTGTGAGCATAACACTGTTTTAAACAGAAAGAAATATATATAACACTTTCTGGTAAATTACAGCAGCAAAAAACAAGAGGCATCATCTTTATTTTTTTAAAGGTACGAATTTTCACCACTATAGCAGCTGTTCACACCTGAATTCCTCTCACAGCCTGCTTTATATTTTCCAGTAGGGCTTTATTTTCTGGACTCTGATAACGATCTTGATTTGTATACATGTCCGTCAAAGTGGTCACGTAAGCATCAAAATTTTGTTCATTGATTGGTTCCTACGAGATATTAAATAGTAGTTCATATACAACTTCTAATTGCTTTTTTGTACATTCATATATGCAAAATAAACTATCACAGCACAATGACATCTTTTCTTCATACATTTAAAAAGGCCTAGTTTAAAGCTTACTTAATTTTACAGGAGACATCGGATTTGGCCCACCATTTCTTTTTAAGCAGTTAAATTTATCTCTATGGTTTCAGGGATGATATCGCAAATCTCCATCTGCTCGAGGAGTCATAAACATAAAAACAAAAAGACATCTACTGTATGAGGTGAAGAAGACTGCCTAATTCCTTATCTGAGCCTTCAATCACTTACCATATGCGGTAGCTGGATATTAGCTAGACTATGAATTAAAGATTGGCTCAAATTGGCCAATTCATGAAGGAGAGACTCATTTTGTTGTTCAATTACTTTGTTTTCTTCTTCTATTGTCTTCAGGTTGCTCTCCATGGTGGTAATCTAAAAGAACACAGGATTGCACAATGTAAAACATGACAATTTAAAAGCAAACAATTATTTTAGCTGAATAACATTAGGTTGCATCCAGAGTGCTTCTAACGGACTTCAGTCATGAAACCCAGTCATGCTCCCACTGAAGAAAGAGTGGGAAATGATATTTGGCAAGTAGGTTTAGAAGCATCTCCCCAGCTGGAAAGCTTTTCAGGGGGCTAGAAGGCAAGATGCAAAAAGTTGTATTTTTTTTTTTTTTACAGGGCCATCCCATTTACACATGCTGCGTGAGGTGTGGTTGGGCATCTGTTGTATGTCTGTGCGCACACATCTGTCTGTCTTTTTTTGAAACACACTGAATTTAAGGCTTTGTAAAACTGTTACCTGAGTTCGAAGTTTAATCATATCAGCTTCCATCTGGGAGTTGGATTCATTTAGCTCTTTTATTTCTTCATCTAACTGTTTAATTTCTTCATCATTTTCTATTCCTGTTTAAGCAAAAGGAGAAAATCAAAGTAAGAGGTTTATGGAAATAAAACCCATTAAGGTGGAAGGAAACCACGTCACCTGGAATATCACAGAATACTGAGAAAGCAGCAGGACAATTGTACTCTGCAGGTGTTGGAGATTGCATCATCTCCTTGCGCCTACGCGTTGTTTAGGGTTAAGGGTCTTCACAGGCTGCTATGGTGCCTGTTTTTCACCTAGCCTGTTGTTTGTTCAATGAGTTTAAGAAATAAGGGAATTCGACATTTTTCTTTCATTCATCCTCTTCTATTTCCCTCTTAGTTTAGATAAAAGTGACGCTTTTCTATACTCATGTATGAATAACACTAATTGTATAGGAAGAGTTGATACTTAGATCAAACTCCAAGCATTATACTTAAGGATTATTCTATTTATATACATTCTACTAGACTCCAATCAATTCTGACCCTCATGGAGTCTAAGCAGTGCAGGAATGTAGAAATGTTATTCTAGATGGATCTGGCAAATTCATGACAGAGGGCATTTCTTCATGTAAGCAACCAGGGCTTTTATCCTATGGTTGCACATGGAATCCAATAGAAAAAGGAGTATTGGGAGACACTTGCAACCATTTATCTGACCAGGGAAACCAGGTGGAAATCGAATAGTCCTTGGTTTTTAATGGAAATCTTTTCTTTTTTTCCCAGGGGTCCTCAGACTTTTTAAACAGGGGGCCAATTCACAGTCAGACTGTTGGGGGACCATGGGCACGGCTTGGTGGTCATGTGACTGTGTGGCCATGGCTAGGTCATGTGATTAGGTGGGCATGGCCAATTTAACAGTCCACTGAACAATGCACACAAATTAATCTTTAATTTCTTTTGCTCCTGAGGGGTGTTTTATTTGTTTTTGTTTGCATGTTGCTCTTTTGGTTGCCTTTTCTTTTTACTAGATTGTTTTTTCAGTTGTTCAGGAGTCTAGTGGTCCACTTCAGGAAACTCAGTTTTGCAGCAATTCTTCTCAGCCCCAAGGACCTTGAGAAATCTCTCTCTTCCACTCTGTCTCTCTCTTTCTCTCTCTCTCTCTCTCCCTCTCTCTCTGTCTATCTATATCTCTTTATCTATCTTCTGGAGGGGGGGGGGAAGGTGAAAAACGGGCCATTTTTGCCAGTTTTGTTTTGCTTCCTGGAGCGTCTGTGTGCCCCATCTTTCACACACACCCACTCCAGAAGCATTCTTCAGGCCAAAAACAGGCAAAAACGGCTCATTTTTTGGGCAAAACTGGTCCATTTTCACCCATTTTTGACCTCCTGGGGTGTCTGTGCACCCTGTTTTACACCTCCTCTGCCTCCAGAATGTCTGCAGGCCAAAATTGTTGGCCTTACCTTTCAGTTCCAGCCTGCGGGGCTCGCGAAGGTAAGTCCTGTGCTCAGTTGAAGGGTGGGCGGGGCAATGTGGGCGGGGCAACCTTGTGGTCCTCTGTGGGCCAGATGAATGGCTTTGGTCTGCACACGGCCCACGGGCTGTAGTTTGAGGACCCATATTCTATACCTTTTAGAACTTTCTTTTTTCTTTTTTTAAAATTTGAAATAGGAATAATCTTAATTTCTTATTGATGTATTATTTTAACTACTCTAAAATAGTTTCGTTTAACAAATTTGAACACACAGCATGTCAAAATTATCAAATTGTTTTTGCTTAAATATTTCTCCTAAATATTTTGGGATAAGAATTACCTCAAAGTGGTCCTTGGAAAAAATATAAATAGTAAATTACATAATAAAATTGCTATGGCAATTAAATACACTATCAAACTAGATAGAGATGAAATTAGTGCCTCTTGTTAGCCTAAAGAATTTAGAATGAAATGCAGGTACATTTTTATACAATTTCTTGGGCCCAGTGAGATTTGCTTCTGGAGAAAATGGGGCCAGAAAAAGCCTCCAGCTGAGAGTTTGTTTTACTACTTCAGTCCAGACCAGAAGAGGAACACGGAGTAGTGAGGATGTAGGTGTCACAGCCAATAGCAGCTTCACATACTGTACTCTGATGACTTCTTGAGAAGGACTAAAAACCTGTTTAAAGGACTCTATAATATTATCATTATGAGTAAATTCATCCCATCATCTTCCAGCTCCAGCGGTCCTTGGAGGAAGCAAACTATCTAGACCCCTTCCAGTCAGGCTTCAGACCCGGTTACAG